GCCCGATGCGGGGCTCGATCCCAGGACCCTGGGATCATGACCTGAGCTGAAGGCAGACGCTTAACGACTGAGCCACCCAGGCGCCCCGCACTTGCTTTGTATTAGGAGGACAAGAATGACATAAAGATGGCCCTGCCCTTGGGCTTGCGTGTGCGCGTGCATGTGGGGCCAACCGGCAAAGCCACTGTAGACGATCAGGGAAGCACCAGGTGCAGCAAATGAAAGGCCTGAAGGTCACAGGGAAGGGGGCCCACTGTGGCCGCTGTGTTGAGAGTGTTGATGCTATGGTCTGGGGGCAGTGCAGTGCAGTGCAGCGTGGGGATGACCGCTGTGAGAAGAATTTAAGGTGGCAACCTAGTTGGATCTGTGTGTCAGAGAAGTCACCCTCTCTCTCACATAGAGCTGCTTGCCAGTGCCTCTTTTTCTTGGCCCACAACAGATTAGAGAGTCTTGTTGGTTTCCCTCGTGTTCTTTGCTGCCATGCAGGTGAGTGTCTTCTGGAAGTTTCATAAGGATTTTACTTGCCTGCAGTTCTTTGAGGGCTGAGCTGCAAGGTGCAGGTTGTCTGGGCATGGCCTCTCAAGGTATTACTCTTGAGGAGCTTGAGTGAGTACAGAACAGGACATCCCGGGCACCTCATGGTGATACCTCACATCGGGGCCATGGATGTCACCTGTCATTGGTTGTCCTCACAGCCTCCTCAAAGAAACTTTCAGGTGCTTGTGTCTCCCAGGTCCATCTGATCTGTTAAATTGTATCATGCCTTCCATTTGCACTCTAGCAGTTTCTTTCCTTATGAAATTGACCTCGATCGATAAAAGTGTGTGGGTCTTACGTGCTTAGTTTTTCATGTTACTTGAGATGGGCCTGCCTGTCCTGACCATTTGCACTGGACCCTTCTGGGGTTGCATGTTCATCTCCTAACTGGGGACTTCTTGGTTCCAAGTCCAACTGAAACGTCCCAGGAGTTGTGTTAGACTCTGGGCCACTGTGGCTGTTTAGGCCTGATCTTTCTACTTCCTGGTTAAGTTATTTTTCTGTGCCTCAGTTTCTTCATCTTTAAAATGGGGTAAGACCAGAAGCAATCCCAGAGTTGTTTTGAGGATTTATTTTTTTTTTTTTAAGATTTTATTTTATTTATTTGACAGAGGGAGACACAGCGAGAGAGGGAACACAAGCAGGGGGGAGTGAGAGAGGGAGAAGCAGGCTTCCCGCCCAGCGGGGAGCCCATTGTGGGGCTCGATCCCAGGACCCTGGGATTATGACCTGAGCCGAAGGCAGACGCTTAATGACTGAGCCACTCAGATGCCCGTTTTGAGGATTTAAATGTTACTGTGTATCAAATGTGAGAGGGCTGTCTAGGGAAGGGTGTTTTGGTTTTTGTGGTGAAGGTAGGGGGTTTTTTTGTTTGTTTTAAAGATTTTATTTATTTATTTGACAAAGAGAGACACAGTGATAGAGGGAACACAAGCAGGGGGAGCGGGAGAGGGAGAAGCAGGCTTCCTGCCGAGCAGGGAGCCCAATGCGGGGCTCAATCCCAGGATCCTGAGATCATGACCTGAGCCGAAGGCAGACACTTAATGACTGAGCCACCGAGGCGCCCCTGAAAGATGAGGCGAAGTTTAGGGTCAGGCTTTCTGTAGAAAAAGCTTTGTTCATCTGGTGAATGAAAAATGCAGCTTTCTTGGCTCAAGGGCCCATCTGGGCCTGGCTTGAAGGTGAACAAAAGTGGTTATGTCCAGAGCCTTCTATCCCTTAGCCTCACTGAGAGTCCATTTGGAAAGAAAAAAAAAGGCTAGCCCAGCCCAGAAGTTCCAGAAGTCTGTTACCTTGACTTCATCTTGCCTCCGGGACACATTGCTTGGAGATTTCCAGAATGTCATTGCTTAATGGAAAACGTATGGGACTGCTTCCTCCCAGTGGATGCACTTGGCCCCCTGGCATTCTGTGTCCTTGTGGCTGACAGGGCTCCCCCGCTGTCCAGGATGGGGCTGCCCCTGTCCCTTGGCCTGCTGCAGCTTACCTGGCATGTGCTTGGCTGTGTAATTCTCAAGTTGCTTTCTAGGAGAAATTGAGTAGTGGGAAACCAAACTGCACATCATTCTTTATCCTCACTTAATGCCACCCTCCCTCCCGGGCTCACTTCAGTGCATCTGGCCTCCTTTCATGATGGGGCCACATTTACACTTGTTCCCTTTTATTCCTTTGGACATTTTGGCCCTGCTGCGTGGAGACCCTCTCCTAGCTGACTCCAGGACTCCTTAAAAACCCCACTGACGTGTTTCCTTCTATGTGATTCTGCCTCCCTGTTGGTACTTGTAATCCAAGCACTCAGCATGTCCTGTATCTCTCTGTGCCTGGTGCATGGCCGCCGCGCCAAAGGATCCTGGCCAGCCGGCACATTGTCCATGTCATTCTTCCCTCTGTCTCCCCCTCCTCCCTCATTGGCCCCACTCCAGTTTTTGTAGTTGCCCAATAAATAATTACTCCCATCCACTTAGCTATGGAGGGTTTTTGAGGGAGTGCTCCAAAGTCTCTACAGTCCTGTGCACAGCCTCCTCCTCTTCCCTTCCCCCCCCCTCCGTTTCCTGCAGACTCTCCTGACCCACTGGCTTCTCCACCTGGAGCCTGTAGGCTGTCTTGGCTGGCTCCCCTCCAGAGAAGGTGTTCGGGTTGTGTTTTTTTTTTTTTTTAATCAGTTTACTGCTTTGTTTATAGTACCTTTATTTTGAAAGGAAACTAAAAAGCCACACATGGGTATCAGTAAAATTAAGTATCGTGGGAACAGAACAGCGTTGTTAAATTCTGCGTGGATGATCATACTGTGCATCTCTGTGTACAACCTTTTACGCTGGCACCAGACAGGGACTTTCCTTGTCAACGCTGGAATGAGTGAAATGAGAACAGGGGAACACACAGCAGGTGATTAAATGCCATCCACCTAAAGCTGCCCTGTGAACCCTCCCACAGCCCCACCTGAGCCCTGGCATGTCGCTCTCAGGTGGCTGTAGACCTTGCTTCTCTGAGATGGAGGTCCCACTCTTTATTGATTAAAGCTCAGAGCTTGGAGAAACCCTGTCTGTCTTTCTTGCTGCTCACCTCAGCAGTGAAGGCACACTTTTTGAAGGCTTCCATGCATGGCTGAATGCAACTTCTAGGATGCTTCCTCTTCTCCCCATGTCCTACTCAATGACGTGTGATTCAGCCTGGCCCCTTGGTCTCTCTTCCCTCTGTTCTCTCCTCTGAGCAAGCTCTTTCTGATGGTTCTACACCTTATCCCACCCTTTGGGTGCTTCCCCTCCCTGGATCTGTATGTGGCCTCCTTCCTGCTCCCATTGGTGTGCATTTGCCTCTGGGGCCCACCCTGTCCTTTCTTAGCTCCCAGCTGGGCTGTTCCTTGCAACCCTCATGTGCCTCCCTCCCACCGGTAGTGCCTCCATCCCTGCTGTCCTGCCTTGATTGATGCCCCAGGCACTTCCTTCCAGGACCACATGGCCATTAGTTCTGGCCAAACTTGTACCAGAAGTACCCCTGAGGGGAGAGGGGAAGTGTCTTATGTCACCAAAGCCTGGAGCAGGCCTCTCCAGTTACATCTGCTTTTGGAAACTGTTGTAGTGCACGATATTCTCACTGTTCCCATCTTCAAATGAAGTTGATTTGGGGAAATGCCCCTCTGTGGTCCTGAACTCCTGGAGCACTGCTCTTGTCTTGTGAGGTGCTCTGCAGGCTGCTGCCCAGTTCCCCACCTCCAGTCCCCCCTTAGGCTCTGATGCCAAATGACTGGTTTCAGCTCTTGGTGCTCCTTCCCCATCTTCAGCACCATGCGAGAGGTACCAGAAATGGCTTCACACCTGCAAAGCCCCCCTACTCTCCCTTCCTCTAAGTGTTCTTCCTGGGCTGGTGTTCTCCCAGTAGAGCACACCCATCTTAGAGGTTGCCATAGGAGCTTCCCTCCCCTTCTCGAGTCTCAGGAGGACCCTGAGAGGGCACAGACTATAAATACTCACCTGGTGTCTTGGACACAGTTGGGCCTCATTAAATACTTAAGTTTAGCATTGGATGCTAAAGGCCACATCTAGACTCCTCTAAGTTGCACTGCTGTAACATACCCGCCCTCCTGTGCCTTGGATAGGAGCACTAGTGTTTCTCTCCACAGTGTCGTGCCTCCTGTGTGCTAAATGATTAGTGAATTACTCAGTTTTGGGTTTTGAGTGATTGTCATCCCATCTGTGAAAAGGTAGAAGGCACTCATAGATCTCCTACTTGGTCGGTGAAAAAGGATAAAGAACAGTCTTCCCCTTTTAAAGCAAATATGGAACAGTCTGTAAGACTCTGTGATGGCTTTGGGCTGTTCCCACCTGTGTCTCCTCTCTGCAGCAGCCTTCTCCTTGTAGCAGTGTCCTCTCCACGTGGTCACTAGCCAGTTGACAGCTAGGCCTGCAGTCAGCCAGAGTACCCTGGAAGGAATGCTGTCTCCTTGACCAGGTCAGTTTTGTCAGTTCTTGGGCTCATGCTGCAACTAGGACGTATGTGTGGGGGTGGTCAGCCTCAAGCCAGGAGTTCCAGCTCTCCACAGCCCCCTTGGACAGACTCAGCACTGAGTTGCATTTATACAGCAAGGTTTCCCCCTGGTGCTTTTCAAATTTGGTAACTTGCCAGAACTGCATTTACAAAAAACTTTGTGGGGACTTTGGTTTAAAATTACACTTGGATTGAATTATAAAGGAATTCTTTAGCAGCCAGAGTGCCTAGTATGTGGTGTGTTCCAGAAAGAAAGCTGTGACAGAGCCAGATAACTTGTCCTGTCCTTTTTCATCCCCTCCACCTACCAGAGTGTGGTTGTAAAATCTGCCCTTTTTTCCTCAGCCCTTGCCTGACTTCCTCAGCGAGAGAGGTTTTTTTTACCCCCACTTACTGGAGATGCTCATTAGATGCGGGCAGCTCCTAGATTACAAAGTCTTTCTTATTGTGGGGACTGGCTTTAAAGGTGATCCTTCCTTTTTCTTGCCAGTAGAAAAGTGTCAGAAACACGGTACACAGAAAGAATGCCAAATAGTACACGTTTGAACAGATGTTTCTTCTCATTAATAGAGTGTGGGAACTCTCGGCATTGCAAGTAAGGGGTGGGTTAGTGTGTTTCTGGAGGGCAGTTTGGCAGTAACAACATGTCCCCGGGATCTGTGGTTTTGTTAGAATAACTGGACCAGGTGCACAGAGTTGCTATTGCAAGGATGCTCGTGGCAGGATTTGTGTTGTTGGCATGGCCCAAAGCAGGGGTCATTCAGGTGAGGGTAGTGCGCAGGAGGGGGTGCTCATACAGGCATTGAGCTGGGGGTCTCGCACCCCCTGTGCAGGTCACAAGAGGTGCCCTTTTTATCTCTTAATAAGCTTTGAAAACTTTGAAAAGGTTAATAAGGTGGTAGGTTGAGTATGGATTCATTTTTAGGTTATTAGCAGTTACTCTGTAGGATTTCTTGAATCAGCAAACATACATTATTTTCAGTTACCACGGGAAGTGTTCTCAGTGAGTGTGAGGCTTTACCCTGAGCACTCAGCAGTGGACTACGTGGGCCACTCTCCCTTCCTGTCCCCAATCACCAAACACAATTACTGACTTGGCTCGATGTTTCATGAGCCACAGGTGCAAAGAATTTTAATGTAAAGTACATATTTGGGGGCTTGCAAATCCTCTCTCCCACACAGGCAGTGTCCCTTAAAAACTCTCAGATGTCATGAAAATCTGGTTTGTTGCCTATTCTGCCCCTTTCTGCGTGGATTCAGTCATGTCCACAGCCCTTGCCTGCTCCTGGTCAGCTCTTCTCTCTGAGCCCTGTGTCCCTCATGCCCCTCACCGTTGGTGCTTGATCCCTCTTCCCTGCTGTAGGATACATCTTTGAGGAGAGCAGACACTAGGGCCCTTTTAGTCAGTGCATGGAGTGGCTCTCTGGTCAGCCTGACCACTTTGCACCAGAGGAGCTCGGCCCTTGGAGCCCACAGCCCCGTGTTTCTCTGAGTGGTACCCATCTGCTGCCTGGTTTCTCATGATGGCTTTTCTCTTCCCATGTAGAGTGCCCAGTGAAGAATGTGATGGGATCAGTAGCATGTCTGCGGAGAGCGGCCCTGGGACGAGATTGAGAAATCTGCCAGTAATGGGGGATGGACTAGAAACTACCCAAATGTCTACAACGCAGGCCCAGGCCCAACCCCAGCAAGCCAACGCAGCCAGCACCAACCCCCCGCCCCCAGAGACCTCCAACCCCAACAAGCCCAAGAGGCAGACGAACCAACTGCAATATCTGCTCAAAGTGGTGCTCAAGACACTATGGAAACACCAGTTTGCGTGGCCTTTCCAGCAGCCTGTGGATGCCGTCAAGCTAAACCTCCCTGTGAGTAACTTGGGCAGGGCCCAGGGCTGCAGTCCTCCAGGTCTCTTTCCATGTTGGTACTGATGACGGTGGGCTCAAGGTCGGGGCCGGAGGGTGGCAGGGGCAGAGATACCTTTGGGGCCCAGCTCTGAAATCCCAATACTCATGAGGCCCTTGAGTGAGTGGTTTTACTTGTCCTGATGGTTGGAAATAGGAAAGGGGAAGAGAACGTGCTGACTCAACACAGTAACTGGCTCTTAGATGTTAGGATCCAGGAGATACTGTGTAGAGAGGTTGAAATAGGGGTGAAGGAGTGTTTGCAGCTTTCCTTCTGGTTCCATAGGGGAGCTGAAGTGGGAGCAATCAGTGGTCCAGGCCTCCTACTTCTCAGACATGGTGGGCCAGCCCAGGATAAGTGGACGTGGTTGGTCACACTGTGGAGGGGGGACTGGTTTGCTGCAATATCTTCTCTGGTACCGGCATCATCATCATCATCGTCATCACCCAGAGCACAGGGCGGGAAAAGGTAGTGGAATACTCCCAGGGAGCAAGCACATGCAGGGGGCCTGGTTGGAGAGTGGAGGTGTGGGTGCAGTGGTGCCCTCAGCGACCTGTGTCAGAGCCACAGTGCACTTGCTCTTGTTCTTTTGTACCCCTGCTCTTCTCTTCCCCTAGAGAGTTTTCCTTTTGCCCACATCCCTAGCAGATGGTTCTGGAAACCAGTTTGTATCTCAGGGAAGAAACAGAATAATGCTTTTTTTTCTTTTCTTCAAAACATCAAGGACTGATTGTCTTTAAGTTAACCCCTGCTGGGGGGCCTGGGTGGCTCAGTCGGTTAAGCGGCTGCCCTCGGCTCAGGTCATGATCCCAGGGTCCTGAGATTGAGCCCCACATCAGGCTCCCTGCTCAGTGGGGAGCCTGCTTCTCCCTCTGCCTGCTGCTCCCCCTGCTTGTGCAAACACGCGCTCTCGCTCGCTCTCAAATAAATAAACAAATCTTAAAAAAAAAAAAAGTAACCCCTCCTGTTTATTACTAAGTCCCACACATCCCCAGATGAGGAATTAGGTGATTATTGCCATAGACCCAGGCAGGGGTCTGTGAGTGTTAGAACTGCACCAGTGTAGGAACCTCAGCTTCTGCCAGGCATCCAGTTTCGAGAAAGATGGATACAGTAGTGTGACCCTCCTGTCTGGAAAGCCGCTGTGTCTATGGCAGCTGTCCAGTTATCTCTGTCTGCTGAATAGGTGTCATATGCATTTGGGAAGAGCAAGTCAGGAGACACTGCAGGTCTAGATCATGAATTGGTCAAGAAAGGGGTTGGAGGTAAAAGAGCGTCCTTACCATATCTGGGCTTCAGAGGCTACTCTTGCTGTTGACCACAAGAAGGAGTAGAGGCAGACAACCTGTCACTGTGGGGGGAGGTTCTTGGGAGAGGTTGCTACAGCATAACCTTGGGCTGGGCTAGTGGCCTGGGATGGGCCAAGCCATGCAGGGTCCACAGGTGAGGGTGACCTTCCCACAGCAGATGCAAAGAATGGGGACAGAAGGAGCTGGAGGGGGCGGAATCCAGGGGAGCTGAGGCTTTGACAGCACCAGAGGGCGGTGGGAGGCCTACAGAAGAGTCAGGGGAAGCACCAACAGAGAGCAGCCCCCCCCCCCGTTCCCATATCAGAGGCTACAGGGAGGTCAAAGAGATGAGGATTCCGACCTGACCCTCCTGTTGGCCTTTAGGAGGGCATTGGTGACCTTAGGAAGATGTGACGCAGAAGTAGAAACCCGACGGTGTGAATGAGAAGGTGAGGATGCGAAGCCATCATTTCAAGAAATTTGGCTTTGAAGGGAAAGCGCGGCAGGGCCAGAGTGGAGGAGGGGTTGGTTTGTCACAGGAAGACACAGAGGGCTGAGAGGGTGAAGACAGAGGAAAAGGGGGGCACTGGGGGACCTGAGACCCCAAGGAGGCAGCATCCCAGCCAGTGGGACAGACATGGGATGGGTGGTCTGTAAGGCCCAGTGGTTGGGGAGTTGGAGGTCATTCACTGTGGAGTGGAGGCCAGGCTCCCAGGGATCACAGGGTGAATCCCGGTCTCTCTAACTGTTGGACGTTGCCCTCAGCAGCTCTGACTAGGAAGAAGAGGCCATTGGAAGGTGCCACTGATCTGGTATCTTTAGGGAGGTGGGAGAGCAAGGGGTTGGCCCAGAGAAGCAGGGCAGGGCCGGTCAGCTGGGAGCCATGTCATTCTTAAAGCCAGGTTTTCCGGGGACCCCTCCCCCTCCTTGGGGAAAGGTTAATACAACCACCAAAAGAAGGGATCCTTCTTTTTCTCTTTTCTGACACCTTCCAGGAATCTTGACCTGCGTTTTGGCCTCTGATCCCTGCTGGACTTTTCACTAGAATGCCAGCCTCTTTTTGTTCAGTAAAAGTGTATAGTTGGATTGTTATGCCCCTAAGCCCACTGCCCCCTTGTCAACATGCTTTGCCCTCAACCACTGTCCTGTTTGCCCTTGAGCCACTTGACAGGACACGGGCAATTCAAGCACTTGATGCCATTGTCGGCCATAGAATAAAATATGTTTCCACTGAGGCCCATATATTTGGCCTTGGTGGTTCTCTCGGGAAAGGCGGTCAGAGCCATAGCATAGTATAGCATAGAAAGTCTGGTGCAGTCTGTCCTCGTGGCCTCCTGGCCAGGGTATCCAGGCATGCATGTGCAGCCCTCGGCCGGTCAGAGACGTGATCTCTGCCACTCGTTATGTGTAAGCTTGTTGTTTGTTGTTCCTTTCTCGAGGGTGTCAGAGCAACCTAAAACCTCACACCCTGTGCTCACCTTTTCAGTACTGTCCACCATTTCCAGGCAGGACCTTGGCACTTGCTAAAGGATAGGCCTGTCTTTCTGCCATCAGTTCCTACTTGGACTTGGTTCTGATACCCCACTAACGCCCAATTATGGGAGCGTCTGAGATTGTGGACCTTGGAGTGGGCTAGATGACACAGGTCCCCCTGCCTTGGCTCTGTTTGATCCTTCTACCCAGAAACCTGGTGTGTTGCCTGTTCTGCCCCAAGACACCTCCCGTGGTTGTTCTTAAAAATAAACGTTTATTTTTATGTTTGTGCGCACGCATGCTTTCCATTATGACCATGGAAGTTTTAGGATAGGTTTAGATTTACAGAAAAGCTGACAAGTAGTAGAGTCTGATTTGAAGGGCTTTAGGACATCTACACCTGCCGTTTGGCTCCTTCTGTTTGGCACTTGTGGAGTAAGATCTGAAGCTTTGAGAAGTGGGGTCTTTGGATTTTTTATTTTAAACTGAGGATTGTACAGGTTGTCCAGATTCCTCATAAACCTGGTTAGTTGTTCAACTATATCCAGGTACTACTAATGGATCCTTAGAAAGACTGTGTGCTAGTAAAAGAAATGGAAGTGCGATGAACTTGGTTCTTCAGTGTGCCCAGAAGCAAGGAGTCCAGTTGTTCCAGGTAGGCTTTAATGCTGGCTCCATAGGATTTTGCATTTTATGGGCCGGTAACATTTCAAATGGTAGAGGAAAAGTAGAACTTGTCATGGGTTGTTTTATTAGATAAGTGCTTTTAAGAAGGCTGTATGTTTTCCCCATTATTTATTAAAAATTAAAGGATTTTAACATCACCACTACCACCACCACCAACAAAAAATAGAAAACATAGATCTCCGTAAATACAGCCTGTTTCCAGACCAGCAGTTGACAGACTTGCACATTTTCCCTCCAGATTGCCACCCCACATTTAAGAATTATTCCCTGATTCACTTTATCTTGGGGTTCCCCCTTAAGATTGCTTCAGTCTGTGCTGTGGCTCTCATCTGTGCTCCTGGAGTAAGATCCACAGGCCCACCCTGAGTGCTGCATGGCCGGGGAGGTGACACTGGCCTTTTGCTCTCTTTGCTCTCTAGGATTACTATAAAATCATTAAAACACCTATGGATATGGGAACAATAAAGAAGCGCTTGGAAAACAACTATTACTGGAATGCTCAGGAATGTATCCAGGACTTCAACACTATGTTTACAAATTGTTACATCTACAACAAGGTGAGATGGTGGTGGCAGATGTCCAGCTGCCCTGTAGGGAGGGGAGGGGTGGAGAAGGAGGCTGGCATATCGAGTCTTTGGGCAGGGGTGCTTGGGAGCAGGTGGGATTAGTCTAATGGGAGGAGACCATTTGGAGGCAGAAATAATGGGACCCGTGGTTTTGCCTGTGACTGGGTGTTTCTTTTTCGGGGAGGAGGGTGCTGGCCTTGTTTGACTTCCAAGCCGTCCTTGTTAGCTTGAAGCATGTGCTTCCGGTGCCCTTGGGACTTTGGTTCTTGAGCATGTCTAGAGAAGGTGTGAGGAGGACAGTGACGACTCATTAAAAAGTCCATTTGGGTGATGTAAATGGTCAGGAAGGAGCCTACTAAAATGGAGTTGTGCAAAGGTTTGCTCAAACAGAAACCTCAATGTAAGAGAGGGTGTGATGGGGCCCACTGCATCTGGAACTGTGGACATGACCATTGACAACTTGTGGCCACAGAATTGAATGTCCCCTGAAGTTACATGTAGACCTGAAGGTCACTTCTTAACCCCATTAGCCAAACCTTTCGGCTCGGCTGTGCCATGAAGCCAGATCATTTGTTTACAGTTCAGACCACAGATGTGATTAAAACCAACCCTTTCATATAGAACGGCTCTGGAGGGAGACCCTATACAGAACTCAGCTTTTGGCCTCTGCTGGTGTAGTGGGTAAAATTGCCCAGAAGAGATGGGTAGGTGAGTTTCTTGAAGTTTACTGTGTTTTTTTAAAAAGTCTTAGCTCCCACCGCTAGGTTTAAGTGACATGTGCACAGATGAGGTTCTCGGGTTAGAGCTGAGTGGGAACAGCATGTCGTAGATGAGGCAACAGAGTGGGGACCCATAATGCAGTTCAAGATAGGCATTGCCCCGAGCCCCGAAGAGCTGCCTTGAGGGTACACTGGGGAGCATTATCAGAGCCCTGCTACGGTATCTGTGGCAAGAAATCCTGTGTAATTCAAGTATTTGTAGTGAAGTTGAATTGTGTCAAAGGAAGGCTTCTGTCAGTGATTGGCAGGGCTTGTTAGATACTTAAGGCATTAGGATGGCTTCTCAGGCCAGAGCTTAAAAGACGAGAGGGAGGTGCAGGCGACGGGTGCTGGTTCAGGCACACGAGCCTTGGTGATATCTGGTGGTATAACTGTTGTGGCCCTTTAGGGTTCAGATCAGGAAGGACCCTGACTATGATACTTGATGCTTTGGAGCAGGGAGTGGGTGGCACAGGGTGGGGAGTGCTTGCTCCGTCTGGAGAGGTGGTGAGGGCTTTCTGACCCTCACCCCTGTGTCTCCTTTTCCAGCCTGGAGATGACATAGTCTTAATGGCAGAAGCTCTGGAGAAGCTCTTCTTGCAGAAAATCAATGAACTGCCCACTGAAGAAACCGAGATCATGATAGTCCAGGCAAAAGGAAGAGGACGTGGGAGGAAAGAAGCAGGTAGGTTACCTCCAGTGTGCCCAGGCATGTTGGCCTCAGACTGAAACGGCAAGGACATTGGCTTTCCTTCTCCCCAGTCTTTGTTCCCCTTCTCCTGGTTCAGTGGAGGACCAGGGGTCAGGGGGCAGGCAGGCTTAGTAGTGGATGTGCCCCAGAGGGACACATGACTGGGTAACCTCCCACAAAGTAGAAATAATTGGGCCCTGCCTTTTTTAATGGACTTTGGTTAAAAAGAAAGTGTAAGTTTTTCAAAGCATTTTTAAGTTATTTGAATTCTTCACCCCATTTAGAGAAAAGAAATTAACCCGGCCAAGGGCAATTTTAACTAATAATCCCTATCCTGGAACCTCAAGGTTGGTTATTTGAATTATCTTAAGATGCTTATGTCAGAGCCAGGCCTGCTTCATGATGCTGCTGAAGTCGAAGTGAAGCCCTCCACTCCTTGCCCCTGTCTCTTAGGCTGACACAGGATTCCCAAGGCCAGCTGGAAAAGCTCTAACAGCTGCCTTCTGCATCTTGCCATCCTCAGCTCTGTGCCGAGGTGACCCATGCTGTGAGTTGTTTGCTTCTCTACAGAGAGGGCTTTCACCTAGCTTCCCGCCCTGCTCAGAAGTGGTGGCTTCACGGGAGCAAAGGGGGTTGGCTGGATCCCAGACAGTGTTGAGGTGTAGCCAAGGAGAGGTAGTCCTGACAGTCACCCCTTAGTCGTGGACCCTGCCAAGAGGTGTCCTGTATCCTTAACATCCAGGAGTCCTGCGACCAGAAGTAGCCTGGGACCAGGAGTTTGGTCTGCACATGGGACAGACGCGGGGTGTTGTGTGTTTGGGCTCACCCGCACAGCTGCAAGGAGGCAGTCTGAGCTGGTCACAAAGGGCAGCAGCCGTCCAGCCTCCTCCTGTGGCTCAGGGAGGTGGAAGCTTGCCAATTTCCAGAAACCTTGGCCAGGGCTGCTGATGCCGGCCCCCTGCCAGAATTGCTTACTCAGAAGGCAGAGCTTCTGGGAATGAGGACAGCTCTGTCCAGAAGTGCCAAGGAACATTTTTCCGCTCTCCAGCTACCGTCCTGGTGCTAACTCTCAGCGTGTGTTTCCTGCTCCTTTGGCGCAGGCCTCCATTCTCATGAAGGCATCTTTGTGCCCGATTTGGGACTTGAAGCCAGGACGCCTCAGGAAGTGTAGAATGCAGTGTGCCGCTGCTCTCAGAGAACCCGAGGGCAGGTGCACCAATTTGGCCAAGGTCTGGGGTGTTCGGGTTGTTCTGTCTCTAAGGCGAATAGTTACTGTGATAGTGTGTGCCATGCCCACGCAGATGTGTGCTCACCACATGTGACAGCGTCCCCCGTAAGGTCAGCCAGCATGTGTCGGGCTTGGCATCTAACCACCTGTCCCTTTTATGATTGATAGGGACGGCAAAACCTGGCGTCTCTACGGTACCAAACACAACGCAGGCATCGACTCCTCCGCAGACCCAGACCCCCCAGCAGAACCCTCCGCCCGTGCAGGCCACACCTCACCCCTTCCCCGCGGTCACCCCAGACCTCATCGTCCAGACCCCCGTCATGACAGTGGTGCCTCCCCAGCCACTGCAGACACCCCCACCGGTGCCCCCGCAGCCACCACCCCCACCCGCGCCAAACCCCCAGCCTGTGCAGAGCCACCCGCCCATCATCGCGACCACCCCACAGCCTGTGAAGGTGAGCATCCTGTGCGTGTGTGTGGCCCGACCCAGCCGCTGGCGGGCTCCTACCACCTCAGCTAGCACCCCCTCTCATCTTCTGCTCCGTAGCAATGAGGCTGGCAGGAGACAGTCACTTGTCCCTGCCAGTGCTTCATGCAGAGCCTGGCCTGGCTCTTGAGGCACTTGTGGGTGTTTTCCAGGGGGATTGTGCAGTGTTTACGTCACGGCCTAGAACCTGCTGTCCTGCTGGCCCACAGATTCCATAGTTGAGACCCACCTTCCAGGGGCTTGCTGATCTCTCCCGTATTTCTCATGTAGACTGTGCGTATTTGCAGATGCTGCCTAAATAGTTTCTAAAACATGCCTCCCGTGGGGGGCCGGTGTGATGAGGCTTGCCTCTGAGCGACTTCCCTGACATTAAGTAGGAAGCTGCTTCCGGAGGTTTCTTTGAGCTCCATTGAGCAGATTTCTGCACTCGGGTGTGTGCTTCCTCCTGCCACGGGCAGGGGTCCTGCCCCAGCTGCAGAGCAGATGGTGGGACAGGGTCTTTCCTTGCCTCGGTCTTCACACGTGGAGTTACATTTGAGCCCCATCCCTGAGAATGTTGGAACCCTAGAAAGGACCTAGCTTCAGGAGTGACCTGGGGGCCAGCTGTGCCAGCCGCCACCTCTGACCGCGCTTGTTGCACATGTGCTCTCGGCAGACAAAGAAGGGAGTTAAGAGGAAAGCGGATACCACCACCCCCACCACCATCGACCCCATTCATGAACCACCATCACTACCCCCGGAGCCTAAGACCACCAAGCTGGGCCCCCGGCGGGAGAGTAGCCGGCCTGTGAAGCCCCCCAAAAAGGATGTGCCCGACTCACAGCAGCACCCTGTGCCGGATAAGAGCAGCAAGGTCTCGGAGCAGCTGAAGTGCTGCAGTGGTATTCTCAAGGAGATGTTTGCCAAGAAGCACGCAGCTTATGCCTGGCCGTTCTACAAGCCCGTGGATGTGGAGGCGCTGGGTCTGCACGACTACTGTGACATCATCAAGCACCCCATGGACATGAGCACAATCAAGGTGAGCAGATGCCCCCTCCCCAGAGCTGGGGCTGGGGCTTCCTGGGACAAAGAAGGTCAGAACCTCCTAGGCTAGTCCAAGAGGAGGGCCCAGGCCTTGGGCTCTGGTGAACTGTGCCCTAGTAGCTTCTTTTCTCACCAGCTCAAAGAAGCCCAGCGCCCCCTGCTGGGAATCATGGGGACAACCTCCAAGACCACGTGCTTGGGCATTTTCTTCTCAGATAGCACTGCTGCCCCCTCATCTAGGGACAAGCCCTCTGTGGTCTTGGGCCCCACTAGCCACAGACTTCTTGCACAGTAGATGCTCCAGGACAGGTTGACATGCTAGGCTCTGTCATGCAGAGGGCCTTGATGTCACATCTCAGTAGGAGGCACACACAGTGCTGGCATTTTCATTGTAGTATTTTGAGGCCTTTCGATTATGTTTATTTTAAGCTGCGTTGCATTTTTGTTTGGGAGTGGAGTAAGCCTGCCCAGACATGGGACAGTGCTTGTGTACCCCCCCTTTTTTTTTTTTAAGATTTATTCATTTTAGAGCACGTGAGCAAGTGTGGGGAGGGGCAGAAGGAGAGGGGGGAGAGGGGGAGAAGGAAACTTTAGTAGCCTCCGCCCTGAGCGTGGAGCCCAACTTGGGGCTTGATCCCATGACCTATGGTGAAACCAAGAGTTGGACGCTTAACCAACTGCATCACCCAGAGGCCCCCATTGGTGTTCCTTTTGACCAGTGTCTTGCCCTGTGTCACCAAGACAAGTGTATGTCAGGTCAGAACTGGTCCCATCCCTCTCTTTACAGTCTGGCTTAAGCTCTGCCTCTATTTATTCTGTGTCCTCTTGCCCCATAGCCCATCACAGTGACCAGAGTGGGTGGGTTTGGCATGGTAGCAGGGTATTTCCCGGCCCTGAGACTTGCTTTTGAGTGTCTCCTTGTCCACTTGACAAGTTCTTGAGAAGAACTAAGGTGATGATGACCTCTCCTCTGTTCCACTGAGAAGCCAACTTGCTCCTACAGGCAGCCCTCCTGGCTGTCACATCCCCATTGGAGCAGGGGCAGGCATAACCAACAAGGACCTGTCTTGTCTTTTCAGTCTAAACTGGAGGCCCGTGAGTACCGTGATGCTCAGGAATTTGGTGCTGATGTCCGATTGATGTTCTCCAACTGCTACAAGTACAACCCTCCTGACCATGAGGTGGTGGCCATGGCCCGCAAGCTCCAGGTGAGGTGCTGGGGAAGCTCTGAGCACAACATCTGTGGTAGGCAGGCTAGGGTCCTGGGTGGACCAGGCCTCTTTGGTATGATGCTGTGTTGTTTTGAAGATGGGCTCAAGTCAGGATAACGTGCCATTTTACATTGAGATTATTTCATTATAATTAAAGCAGAGTGGTTAGTTTGGGTCTTGGGTACTTGGGGTTTTGTTCTGGGGGATCCCACTGAAAGCCCCCTGCCCAGTAACTGCATTTGGTTGCCATTGGCCAAGAAGGGTGCATGTGCTGTGGATGGCCCAATATGTTCTCCAAAACAGACCTGTCTCACGTTGGTGGATGACACTGTTGTAAAGCAGATACTTTGACACAGTTGTGAGCTGAAGTAACTGTTTGCCTGTGGGCATTTGTTCACCAGAGCCTTGAAATCTTTTGCCTTCTAGCTTCTGGGTAGTTGTTTCTAGGCATTCTGTGAGGCCACATCTCCCTCATGGATTCCGTTGGGGATTGTGGCCCCTTCAGGTTGATCTGGACGGTGCACACTGTCAAGCAAGTGTGGGTGGGTGGGAGGGGGCAGGTGACCACATAATATATGAACTAACTTCACTTTGCTTTATTTAAAGGAGGAAAAATGTACTCAGATTTCAATAGTGGTTATCTTTGGGTAGAAAGATTAGGGGTTGGGGCGCCTGGGTGGCTCAGTCATTAAGCGTCTGCCTTCGGCTCAGGTCGTGATCCCAGGGTCCTGGGATGGAGCCCCGCATCGGGCTCACTGCTCAGCGGGAAGCCTGCTTCTCCCTCTCCCTCTCCCTCTCCCACTCCCCCTGCTTGTGTTCCCTCTCTCACTGTGTCTGTCAAATAAATAAAATCTTTAAAAAAAAAATTAGGGGTTAAAAATTATGGAGAATTGGGGCACCTGGCTGGCTCAGTCGGTGGAGCCTGCCACTCTTGATCTTAGGGTCATGAGTTTAAGCCCTTCATTGGGTGTAGAGATTTAAAACAAACAAAAAAACCCACAAAAAACTTAAAAATATGGAGAATAAAGTCTATAGTACTTTTATAATTTTTTTTTTTTTTTTTTTAGAATTACACATATAAACATTTCTGGCCTTTTCTCCCCAAGACCCTGGGTTGCTTCTGCTCTCAGTCAGAGCAGGCCCTGGGCTGGGTCACCTGTCATCACAAGGGACAGGCAGTCTGGTTGGAGCCCAGTGCCAGTTTGCACATCTGCTGTCCCACTCCCACCTGGTGGCTGGGTGGGGGGTGGGTTGGGGGGGTGGTTCCTCACACCTGGCTTTCCTAGCCATCTGTGGAGTGCTTCCAGAGCCGAAGTGAGGACTTGGCTTTGGCAGTCTGTGGGTCTGTTCTGCTTAGAGGCCACCTGAGTCCTGTCCTATTGCTCATCTGCCTCCTAGTTCTGTTAGCGCCACACATTGTCCCAGACCCACTATCAGAGTATCTCCTACCTCCTCACGCTGGAGCCAAAGCGTGGACTCTCTTGTTCTTCACTTGGCCCCTGGTCTGGGTCTTGGGCCGACTTTGGTGCAAAGGACGTGTCCTGAAGCTCTTAGGGTAGATTTAAAAAAACTTACTACTAATGTGAACCTGGCTGTTGTTATTTAAATGGAAAACTCAGCCTCCAACGTTCTTACAGTTTCTACTGTTTGTTTTTTGGTCTTATTTTTGCTGAGGTTTTTTTGGGGGGGGGTGGCTCTTAATTTGGTGCTCTCTGATTTCTTCACAAAGCTGCCCTTTCACTGTGGTTCTTCTGCATTTCTCATCCTTAAAGGAGCTCAGACTTTATAATTTTATGGCAATTCTCACACATGGCCACCAGGTGGCAGTGGTGCCCTCCGATCTGTGTTTTCAACCTCCTCTCGTGAGGACTGGGAAAGGGGGGTACTTTTACCCAAATTAATACACATACCCTTTACTTGCCCTCTTGCAAACAGCTAAACCAGAACAAGTCCTCTGTCAGCACGAAGATTGCTATTCTGAGCTACTTTACTGTAAAAAGAACAGAAAAGAGAAAGAATCCTCTAATATAGTCTAATATTCTCTCTCTAATTTCTGTGCCTGTTTTAAGTGTTTTGGTTTTGGTTTTTCTTCATTTCTCTCCTGTGAGTGGCATGAACATGGCCCAAACATGGGGTTTACCCATAGCAAGAGCACTGAGCTATTTTCCACACAGTAGCCTCTTTGTAAACATTTTTGTTCCAGATACCAGGCTGGACTAGGTGAAGTCCTTGCCCTGAAAGAGGGTCCATTTCAGGCAGGGGCAGTGCCTGGGTGAGCCATTTGGCACAGGGCTGCCTCTGCCCCTAGCCTGCTTTGCCCACCTCAGGGTGGGTTGCAGTGTTACTGAAAACAGTGTCACTTCTCCATTGCCACGAGGCAGGTGGAGGTATCTGCTTCAGGTGCAGAGTCGATGTGGAGGGCTTCTTGTCTGGAAGGTAGTTGCTGTGCTTGTGGCATTTCAAGCTTTTTCCTCTTCCTTTCTAAGCTTTCCTGGATGGGCATGGTTTAGATGGCTAGATTGTCCAGAATGAGGGAGGAGCAACAAAGTTCCAGTCCTTGTTTGCCTTTTTAGAAGGTATTAGACCTGCCTCCTCTTAAGTAGACTATGCCCAAGGACTGGGATTTACCTGAAAAGTTATATGGAAAAGGATCCACTGTGTTTTCCTCTTCTGGTCTCTGAAGTCCAGGCATTTAGAAAACTCACATCCCACCACCTGGCAGCCATGGTCACAAAGACAGCCAGGAGTGTCTGGGCTCAGGGTTTCCTCAGCCCAAGGGTGGCTTGGGCTAAGGCCTGCCAGCCTACCTGGTAGGCCCAGAGCTGCTGGTGATACTGTCCTGTACTCTGTCATGAAGTGAGGAGTCATTTAGGAAATTTGGTACCCATGTAGATTACCAGAGTTCTTTTTCAAGAAAAAGTGCAAATTCAAGGTGGTATGCAATTATTTTTACAGCAAGGAAAAATGAAAATTGCATTGGGATATCCTGCATTAGATCCCAGAGGCAGGAAGCTTTTGAGGTGTGTGTAAATGTATGTGTCTGTGTGTCCACTCATGGCTGCATCTCCAGCACCTGGCACCTAGTGGCCTGCCACTGCCTGCATTCTATTCCCCACCACCACCCCCATCCTCTGGGCCCTGGTATGCCCAGGTATGGCCACGCCCCACAGCCATATCCATACTCGGCCATGCTTGACCTTTCGGCACTCCAGCAGCTCTTTAACTAGAGGGGGTGGGGGGTGTGCTTCCCCATGAATCTGATGTAGCCCGAAGTAGGTGACCCAGTGAACATTCTAGCAAGAGGAGACGCATGCTCTGAAACCAGTGTGCTTTGCTGATTGATGCTTAGAGTCGCAGTGTGGGTGGAGGTGATGGCATAGGTGGAAGAGCTGGGTCCCCCGGAGACACTGCCAGTCCTAGTGTGGGAGGCTGAGCCCCTGTCCCCCTAGAGAATGCTGGTTGTTGGTATTCACTGTTCCTCGCCATCACTGTCCTCCCTCACAAGACCTTCAACCTAGGTGCATCTCATTTGGTTTGGGCATCCTCTTGCCTGGCCCCACACCCTTTCCACCCATTCTCCACCTGGCCACCAGAATGAGCACCTGGATTCATGAGTCACACCTTTCTCTTCTTAGAGCCATCCTTGCTGGATCTCTGTAGCTCTTGGCATCATGTCTGCCGCTCATCCTTAGCTTTCAGGTTTCCCACAGGCTCTCTACCACCCCCTTTCTGTTTCCACCTTAACACTTACAGCACTTCACAACTATTACCATACAACAGGCCCCAGCAGGTGCCAGCCTATCTCAGCCACTTGGGAAGGTTCTTCTGCAGTAGGCTCTGGCTCACTGGCACTCAGGCCCAAGTACATTTCCCAGGATGTCCCCCACTGGGGCCAGAGCAGATGGGAGGAGGACAGGTCTTGCAGCTGGGCATGGCCGGGAACCAGAAGCCCCAGCTTGCAGGCCCTGTGGTGCTTTCCCAGCCAGCCCACCTGGCCTCCTACCTTGCACTCTTCGCTGTTTATGGTCTTGGGATAGCAGGGCCCTAGAGTACCCTGGGAGTGGAAAGAGGCCTCAGGGTGAATCCTGCCCTCCCCCCCC